ACAGACAGAGAGAGAAAGAGAAAAAGAAAAGAAAGTGAGCGATAAAGAAAATGAAGCCAGAATTTACACTTGAGGTGCAGAATCAGCAAGGACATTCTTACCCAGCTCAAGTTCACACTACCACAAGAACGTATGGAGCGGTGGAGAATTGTGGCAAACCACACATGAAGGGATTGCAGTACCAGAATGAACACGTGATAAAGTTATCAGTCCGCTTGCGACTTTAACAGCCACAGCACCTCGATATGCTTCTTTTGTCGACATAGCTCCTGCTTCAAACTGCGTATGTACAGCGCTTCCAGAGGGGGCACGCTCACACACACACACACACACACATACACACACACACACACACACACACACACACACACACACAAGAGTATGTACAGCGCTTCCAGAGGGGGCATGCACACACACACACACACACACACACGAGCGTGCCCACGCGAGCCAGGGTGCACATGCACATACACACACATGCACACACGCGCACACGCACACACACACACACATATATGAGCCATCGCACACGCACACATACACACACACACACACACACATAAGCCAGTGCACACGCACGCACACAGAACCTTCCAAAGTGTCCCCTCTTACAGGTGCGAGCAAAGTCCCATTTAGAAGAACTTTTTTGAACTTTGCTCCCGGACTATGTTGATGATCAGGCCATTACAAAAGTTTTCTGAACTGATAAGGGAACAGTGTACCCTTATCATTTCAGATAACTTTTGTAATAATCTGCTTTGCAGAATGATACGAAAACTGCTCCTATGCGCTGTCATGCTGTTAGTTTGCACTAGTATAGATTTGACAAGCCAACAGGCAACAGCAAGAGTGCATAAACCAGAGTGTGTGTGTGTGCATCCATATTGCATAAAACTAAGAGTACATTACCCCCAGAGTGTGCAACGCCTGGTCCAGCTCTGCATAGGGTCTTGGTCGAGCGGAATCGGATCTTTGCGTCATAATACCGTACACTAGGCATCTGAGCGGAACCCGGGGAGTCACGGGTACTCTCGGATTAAAAACAATGGTGCCTTGCCTCGAGACCGGCCTTGCGCTGGTATGGAGTGCACGCATGACATCAGAAGATCCAATTACGATCGACCAAGACCCAATGCAGAGCTGGATCAGGCGTTGCACACTCTGGGTGTAACAGGTTTAATCAAACTTGAAAAGTAAGAGGCCTGGTTGAGCGTGCCTCGACCAGTTATATGCAAAATGTGATAGTATACATGTGGCAATGGCGCCAATGAAGGTGCTAATAGACAGGCGTAGGACGCGTGAGGTGCGAGGGAGTGTAAAGTTATAGAGAACAGGGGAAAACTGTTACATCATCCCCCTCCTATGGAGAGGAAGGAGCTTATAACCCAAATGCTCAAGTGGAATAGAGTACAATAAGCGCAAACACGTGCGAGACGAAAAAAGGCTTCGCACTGAAGTAACACAATAAGACGACTGAAACTCCATGCAAATAAAGTGTAATAAGCTCAACAAATGTGTAAGGTGAAACTAGAAATTCAACTGCAAAACTCAGCGGGCAGAAGCCAAGGTTTTGTACTTCTGAAGTGGAACAATGTCATTACCAGATTCATCCAACAAATAATGTTCAGGCTCCCAAGTGGCATCAGAGTAGCCTTGCCACTTGACTAGGTACTGAAGCTGATTCTGCCGGCGGCGGTGACTGAGAATGTTCTCCACCAAATAGCGGGCATGACCATCAAGGTCCGTGATAGGCGGAGGCGTAGGCTGTCTCCTATTAGGAATAGCGTTCTTCTCGTAGGCACGGAGTGCCGACACATTAAATACCGGGTGACAGCGGCTGGTATGAGGCAACTTGAGCTTGTAGGCATTCGGGCCGACCACATGGGTTATAGGAAAGGGGCCAAACCACTTGGGGCGTAATTTATGGGATGGTCGGTCCCGAGCTTCAGGAGTCAGGAGGAAATCCCGGTAGACCATTACCAAATCTCCCACCTTCAGCTTTTCCTCGACCCTTGTCCGATCTGCATAGAAGGCCTGACGAGCTTGAGCTGCCACTAGCGCATCTTGTGAGATCTTGACCGCGTCTTGTCTTGCTTGCAACCAATCAGCTGAATCTCTGCCTCCCTGAACAGGGTTGAGGAAGTCGGGTGGCGCTCTGGGATTTAGACCGTAATTTAAGAAGAACGGTGTGTTTCCTGTAGATGATTGAGTAGCGCTGTTGATAGAAAACTCACAGAGAGGTAGGAGCATATCCCAGTTATCTTGTTTATGATTTACAAAAGCCCTCAGCACATCCTCTACTATTCTGTTTACTCGTTCAGTTAGGCCATCTGTCTGAGGTTGATTGGCAGTACTAAATGCTAGTTTCGTTCCTAAGCGATCAAACAATTCCTGAAAAAATGCTGCCGTAAATCTTGGATCACGATCACATACAATACTAGAACTCAAACCATGAAGTCGAAATACATGTTGAATATACAGATCAGCACTTCCTTTAGCGTCAATAGTAGAGGAAGTAGGTGCTAAATGTACACACTTTGTCAAGCGGTCTACAAATACATATATAGCATCATGACCTGTATCGGTCCTAGGCAAACCCATGATAAAATCCATCGAGATATCCGCCCACGGCTGACTGGGCACTGGTAAATTCTGCAAGAGACCAGTTTTTAGCTGGCCGCCTTTAACTCGTTGGCAGACGTCACATGACTTGACAAGCGCCTTTACATCCAGTCCCATTCTGGGCCAATAGAAATATCTAGAGAGTCTGAAATAGGTGCGATCTCGACCAGGATGCCCCGCAGTCACACAGTCATGGTATTCTTGAAGCAGGGCGAGTCGGAGTTTGCTACTCTTTGGAATGCATAACCTGTTCTGTGGTGAAGATCTGAGATAAAGATAACCGGGTGTTTCATTTAGAAGGTAACGGTCGTGCAGATTGTCATGGCTTGAATTTTTCAGTCTCCTGATAATGGGAGCAAGATCCTTGTCGCACTTGTAACCGCTGACAATTAACTGCGCTAAGTCTGGATTAATCTCTAGGGTATGCTCTATGGCATTCAACTGAATGTTAGGAGGATAGGATGACCCGCCTATTTCAGAATCACTGAACAGATCTGGACGGCGTGAAAGCGGGTCGGCAATGTTTTTCTTTCCTGGTTTGTGAAAGACCGTAAAGTCATAGTCAGCTAAAAACTCTACCCATCTTGCCTCACGCTTGGTGAGAGTCGGTTTGGTTCGTAAATAGACAACACCCATATTATCAGTCATCAGGTCAAAGTGGCGGAATAGATAGATTCTCCAGCACTTTAATGCAAATACCACAGCCAACGTTTCCCTCTCGGCCGCAGTATAGTTGCGTTCTGCAGCTGACAGTTTCCGACTACAATAGGCTACGGGATGCAAATCCATATCTTCTCCCTGCTGCAGGAGCACACCCGCCACGGCAAAGTCACTTGCGTCAGTTTCTACCATGAAGCTTTTCTCAACATCGGCCAGTTGCAACACTGGCGCCTCGAGTAATGCTGATTTTAGAGACTCGAATGCCTTCTGTCTAGCAGCGCTCCATTCAAAGCGTGAATTTTTTCCGGTGATTTCTTCTAATGGACGAGAGATGGTCGAGTGTCGATCTATGAACCTTCGGAAATAGTTTGCAAAGCCAAGAAACTTCCTCACATCAGTTACTGACGACGGAGTTGGCCATGTTTCCACAGCACTTATCTTCTTGGGATCAGGGGAAATTGATGTGCCGTTGATTTTATGCCCCAAGAAGAGAACTTCTCTCACGCCGAATTCGCATTTAGACTGTTTGCAATACAGCTCACTATTTCTAAGTGTTTCTAGAACTGTTTGAAGATGATGCTGATGATCTTCCCAGGTCTTGCTGAAAACTAGAATGTCATCCAAGAATACTACAACGAATTTTCGGAGATGTGGTTTCAGAATAGAGTTCATGAGTGATTGAAAGGTGGCCGGGGCATTAGTCAGCCCGAATCCCATGACTCTAAATTGGAAGTGGCCGAACGGCGTATTAATGGCCATCTTAGAAACATCCGAGTCTTGAATTCTGATTTGATTGTAGCCTGACCGCAAGTCCAACTTGGAGAAATATGCACTGCCCTGGATCGTGTCGAATAAGTCATCAATATTAGGAAGACAAGCTTTGTTTTTGATCGTAATTCTATTCAATTCTCGCCAATCGCACACCATTCTCAGAGTACCATCCGACTTTTTCACAAAAAACACAGGTGCACCGTATGGCGACTTACTTGGCTCAATGAATCCCTTCTCAAGTAATTCTGATAGCTGTGACTGGAGCTCTTCCATCTCTGGTTTCGGCAGGCGGTAGGCGGGTCGAGACGGTGGTCTGGCTCCATCTTCTATCTGGATTTCATGGTCGACTGGTCTCTTCGGTGGAAGCTCATTCGGCAGCTCGTCTGGAAATAAATCCTGGTGCCTCTTGAGCAGGTTCTGGATGTCTTGTTGCTCTGATTCCTGGAGTTGTGGCCCGGAACGATTCTCCTCGTTTGCAGCAGTGACCCATGCAAGAAACCCCTCGGCTCCACTCCTCAGGGCATGACGAGCTTGTCGGCTGTCGGCGGGTTAGCTGAAGGCAATTTGGCAACAAAGGGCTCACCGTCCAACTGAACTTCGTTCGTACGGAAGTTGATGCTGGGGTTGTTCCTTGTAAGCCACGGCTTGCCAAGAATAGCGTCGTAGCGAGTCAGGGGATACACAGTAAAGTGCTGTTCCTCACTGAAGCCCCCGACTGTCACCCTTAGCGTGCGTGTGGAAATCTGCGGGACCTCGCTGGTCGAGCCGTCCGCCAATGTTACGCTCAGCACTGCTGAGCTTGCATCCGTGTCAAGATGATGCTTTCGAACAAAACTGTCTGCAATGAAGTCATGCGTCGAACCGGAATCTATCAGCATCACTGCACGGCGACCGCCGATCTTTCCCTGTATGCGCAGTAGGTCGTGTTCAGGTTCATTGCCGACGCTGACGTTGCTGACATGACACCTTTCTGCAACGGGACAATTTCCTACAGCTATGGGTGTCTCCGGCTCCGTAGGTTCCTGGAGAGCAACGTCTTCAACCTCCAGAGCTCCGAACCGGTTAGCGACTGGTACCGGCGTGGGCGCTTGGGTCGTCGCCAGTAAGCGCACCCCCTTTCTTACTGGCGACCAGCGTTTGGGTAGCGCTGTCCACCCTCAGTACAGTCTTTAGCGAGGTGGCCTGGCTTCCTGCAAGCAAAGCAGTGTCCCATTGCTCGCAGTTGGACACGCTCTTGGTCCGTCAGCTTGCGGAGGCCCTGACCACGGAAGCTGGGCACGGAACGCGACTCTCTACTGGCTGGTGGCCCCGACGCCGGTGGCCCTGACGACTGCTCCACGGTGTTTGCTGCCATGACAGCTTGCTCCAGGGTACGTGGATGCTCACGCATGACCTGTCGCTGGATGTGCGGCACTAGACCCCTGACGAACAGCAGCGCTCTGGTGTGGTGGTCGATTTCCGGCACTTGCAGGCTGAGGCGAGTGAAAGCAGCAATGTATGCGTCCAGCGACCCGCGCTGCGCTGCGGAAATTAGTCCCATACGCGATGTTTCCTCGTTGTGCCGTGGTCCGTACACATCGCCAAGTGCCGCTTTCAGAGCAGGCCAGTCGGAAAACACTTGGTTAGCTTCCAATGCCGCTATCAACCAAAGACGAGCGTTTCCAGTCAAAAATCCTGCCGCGTAGTCGACCCTCTGTGCCGCATTTGGGAGTGCCAACGACCGTAGGGCCATGTCCATTGCAAACGTCCATTCTTTGAATGTAGCGGAATCTCCTCCAAACACAGGCGGCTCTTTCGTAAGGCGGGGTGTTGGCTCCCACGGTTCCGAGTTCGGATGTATCGTTCGGTTTCCTTGGCTAACGCGCTGAGCGGTCTTGATATCGTTTATCAGCCGAACGACGAGTACGAGGAGCGTAAGCAGAGCGACCAGAACACCTGCCAAAAGCAGAGTAGTAACCATCCTCTGCTGCCAGTGTAACAGGTTTAATCAAACTTGAAAAGTAAGAGGCCTGGTTGAGCGTGCCTCGACCAGTTATATGCAAAATGTGATAGTATACATGTGGCAATGGCGCCAATGAAGGTGCTAATAGACAGGCGTAGGACGCATGAGGTGCGAGGGAGTGTAAAGTTATAGAGAACAGGGGAAAACTGTTACACTGGGGGGTTATGTACTCTTGATAAAACCAATGACGCGGTGATGTTTTTTAGTCTAGGTCATCTGAATCATGAATCATAGAATGTGGTCTTCGGGTCGTTCATAAATGACGGATTTTTCATTGAATAGGGAACAGAAAGATGACGAACAATGGTTGAATTAAAAAAGAAAATGTACGAAAATGGGAAGGAACTAGTTAAAAAAGTGAAATAATTAGATAATAAGGTGCATCTAGCTAAAAGATTTGAACTCGGATGTTGAGTTAAAGTAATCATGGATAAAACAAAGGACAAAATGTTACGAGTTATGATTAAAATTAATTAAATCAAATATAGTCATCGAGTGCTACAAAATCGCACAAAACTGACAAGGAAATTTTGCCACTCTACGTGGGCCTCATCCCGTGCTGCGGCCCACAGTTAATTGGGAACTCGTGGCCTGGCCCGAGTGAAACATGGATGCAGTGAATGGAATTTTTGTCTTTGACCACATTGTGGGTCGCTCTGATCTACTTACCTCCTATCGCTTTATGAGCTGCATCTGTGCCTTGATCTTAGAGGGTGGTGGTGTTCCTGCCTTGATCCTTGAGGGTGGTGGTGTTCCTGCCTTGATCCTTGAGGGTGGTGGCATTCCTGCGAATGCGAACAACTAGGCCTCCAGCCAAGCCTCACGTGAACAGTGAATTTTTTTACCGTATGCCGCTATGAAAAATAGCAGATAATGAGATTTTAAGGACATGTTGTGTGATTTTGTCCATAGGGCCTACTTTGTACAACACATTTCAGAACTATCACCTGCTGCAATCTTCCATAGCTTCCCCAATTTGTGTTCGCATCAAAGACATTGTGAGCATGGGGAAAAAACAATAATGTTGCTGTTTTGCAGCTTATTGCGTGTCAAGTCACACCCTTACTCAGGAGGAAAGAGAAAAAGGCTATAGGGGGTATTTGGGCAAATTCCTGCTGTAGAACCTCCTTTCAATTCGGAAATGTGGTATGTCATTCCAAAAAAACATGGAAAAAGAAGAAGAAAAAGTCCCTTATGAGGGGCTCAAACCCATGAGCCGCAGAAAGTAATAATGTCTCCACTCATGATCTGCACAGAAGGATGCTGAGAAGACCAGTTTGTGACACTCAATTGAGCGACCTTCAATATCCTTCCTTATGCAAATTTGTTTATATCCACTGCCCCCCTCCTCTCTTTCCCATTACTTGTTTCTATTTCCCCCGTACTTGTACCAATTAGAAAATTTAAAAAAAACTTCTGAAGAACTGCGTCCATTTAAGTACCGTATTTTTACCGGTTGTAAGTCGACCCCGGTTATAGGTCGACCCCCGTATCCGGAGGTCTCAATTCTGCGTTTTAAAGTGTTCACCCAACGAAGCACTACAAACCACCTCCTGCTACTAACACATCAAAAAATCATGTAAACATTTCAACATTACTTAATTATAAGTTTCCGTGCATGGCACGGTCAGTGGAGTTAGCAACACACCAACATCCTTGCCATAAGCAACACTTGTACATGCATAACATGCATGCACTCCGAATTCCCGCGTTTCTGCACGGGACTGTGCGGAGCATGCGCATTACTCCAATTCGCCATGCTGTTGTTTCTTGCTCTTCGCTTTGCTGTGCTGACGGTCAAATTGTTTGACTATCGCGGCCAGTTTCTGATCACCACCACCCACCTCATCATCTCCCACTAGCATTCCATTCGAAACCATCCCGAAAGGGAGAACAGTAGAGATCGTGAGTCAGGCCGGCATTGAGCCAAGTGCGCCTATATTCGCTCGCAAGTGCATCATGTAAGCCATCCCGTAAGGGAGAACAGTAGGGATCGTGGGTCAGGCCGGCATTGAGCCAAGTGCGCCTACATTCGCCCACAAGTGCATCCCTACTGCATGCTCGTGTATTGACACATCTGAATTCAACAGTAGGGATCGTGGGTCAGGCCGGCATTAAACCAAGTGCGCCTACATTCGCCCACAAGTGCATCCCTACTGCATACTCGTGTATTGACATGTCTGAATTCTCGCCGGGCAATTGTTGCCCCAGTTAGTGTCGGCATTGGCCATACTAACGCACAGCGGTGCTTGCAATACTAGCGCTGGCATTGGACCAGAATATTGCATATTGTATGCGGCAATTGTTGCCTATCTCCTGGTAATACAACGCGAAATAGCTCCCAAACAGGTCAGCTTGTTGTGTGGTTCGTAATGGAGGGTATAACGTACCAATCCTTGAAAAATGCCAATAAACTGGCAACAATGTGTACACATGGTGCACTTTTGCATGCAGTGCAGATCATTTTTTGTAAGATATAGATAGTTCCCGGTTATAAGTCGAATCCCGGTTGTAAGTCGACCCCCACCCTTTCTCCGTCTATTTTAAGTTGTAAAAGGTCGACTTACAACCGGAAAAATACGGTATATAAAAGTAAGATCTCACGTCTGTGTGTGGGGTACAAGTTGGTCAGTTGATCTACTGCCCATGCGTGTTCTACGTCATAGTGAAAGACTGCTATTTGCAACAATCCATCCTACACTACTCAACATAGTGCACCAGGTGTTAGAATAAATGCGAAAAAAAAGAATATTCCGCCCGCGTTCCTGACCAGCCACCCACTGTTTTTGCATCAGGATGGAATTTTCCCGAAAATTACGGACGACCCTGGCATAACTGGAAAATACTGCTCTTCAGTTTACTAGTATATGAATATCTCTAAAGTTTAAGTTTATGACAGGATTTATGCCATTAGATACTGAACATAAATCCATAATGGAGTACAGTAAGCAAAATAACATGCAAACTGGAACAGTAGTACAGTCCCTTTTAAACTACTGCTGGTAGAGCTGGCCATGAAAAGAGTTGTTCATCAGGATCTTATAAAATACAGCAATACTAACTTGCATTGAGACAAGGGCAATGTTTTGTGTTCATTTTGTTTGCAGTGAGAACAGTGGGAAGGTTTTCAACAAGCCTTGGCAAGTGGAAAAAGCTGACGGCCAGTTCCAGTCATTGTTAGCATTCCTGTAGTGTTACACCACGCATACACATGCATGCATATGTCAACACACCTATATACAATTATTATGCATGACTGTAAGAGGTAATAATCAGTATGCATTTCACACGATATTTTTTGATTTTTCATTGCTATTGGAGTGAGCATTCTGACAACACATAGTGCCTATCGTAAATGCATTTCCACTAATATCTGTGAAGGAGTTTTTTCGCTGTGCACTGTTACATTTTGCCTCCAAGTTTATTTGTTATCACAAATCTATACTGTCGTTGATAAAGGTTGCTGCACTCAGCTAGACCAGTTGGTTTTCCATTGAGCGAAGAGAGCATTCTTACAACACATAGTGCCTATCGTAGATGTATTTCCCCTGAAATCTGTGAAGAAGTATATCCTCTGTGCACTGTTACATTTTGCCTCCAAGTACGTTAGTTTGTCATGAGGAATCTGTACTTTTGTTGATAAAATAATGTCGCTGCACTCAGCTAGAACAGTTGATTTCTAATAATTGATATTGGAGTGCGCATTCTTACAACACATACTAAGTAGTGCCTATAGTAGATGCATTTCTACTGATATCTGTGAAGGAGTATTTTCGCCATGCATTATTGCATTTTACCTCCAATTAATTTGTGGTCACAAATCTGTACTTCCGTTGATTAATGTCGCTGCACTCAGCTTGAACGCAGTTGGTTGTCCATTGATCGGAGAGAGCATTCTTACAGCACATAGTGCCTATCATAGATGTATTTCCACTGAAATCTGTGAAGAAGTATATCCTCTGTGCGCTGTTACATTTTGCCCCCGAGTATGCTAGTTTGTCATCAGGAATCTGTACTTTTGTTGATAAAAATTAATAGTGTCTCTGCATTCAGCTAGAACAGTTGACTTCTAATTGTTATTGGAGTGAGCATTCTTACAACACGTAGTGGCTATCGTAGATGCAATTCCACTGGTATCTGTGAAGCAGTAAATTCTCTTTGTACTGGAACATTTAGCCTCCAAGTCTGTTAGTTAGCAATCAAAATCAGTTACTTCAAGATTTAGGAGAGCGGTTGTGTTGTGGTTTATGGGGAGTTTCCCTATCAATAGTTTTATTACAAGCAACTCGTACATGGCTGGGGCAGCCAATGACCACTTTGGAGTGGTGATTGCAGGTTTTTATAGCCAACAACGGTGTATTACCCAAAGAGTGGATTGTACGAGGTCATCTGCAATAAAACCTGGTTATAAATCTTCTATTTTCTCCACTTTCTGGGACAATAATGTGTCAACTGTTGCTATGAAGTTGAAGTTAGGTCTTCTGTGGTGCCCTCACCAAAACTTTGGCCTGATCGGCCGTCTCTAATATAAAGGTAAAACATGTAATCCTGCAACAAGGATGTTTTGAGGCTATGAAAGTAGGTGTACCGGTACCGTACTGTTAGAGAGGTTTAGCATAACGAAATTCGTCTGAATTTTCGTTAGATTTTGAAGCCCGGGAACGAGTAACGAAACTTGCCACGAACTTCGGGACACGCACTCGCGGAAAACATCAATCCAACGAAGTTTGGTCTGTCGACTTTTCGTACCACGATCACATGAGCTATGAGAATTTTCCTTTCCTTTCAACATTTTTTTCTGAGGTCCTTGTTTTCACGACCAGAATGTCTGAGCCGAGCTCAAATCCTGCAGTTTCTGCAGCTGCTGTTACCTCTGGTGATCAGGAGGGACGACGACTTCCGTGGGATACGCAGATGGATCTCATGATGGTCCGCCTTGTGAGGTCGATGCCGAATTGTTTCTTGCGGAAATCACGCACGAATGAAGAAGCAGCTCCGAGTGCTGCTTTCCCAGAGCGATGAGAGATTTGCTGGGCTGAAAAAGAAAGGGCTTGTGGATCGGCTTCATCTCCTGCTCAAGAAGCATTCGAGTGGTGAGGCCACCAGTTTACGAAAGTCGGGGAGTGACGAGGATTACTATTTTTTTTGTATTCGCGGGGATTTCCGGGACATCCACGGTATCCACTAGCAACACCGAAGTTCGTGGCGAACGTTCTGCTAAACAAAAATTCAGCGAATTTCGGTCGGCTTTTTCGTACAGCGACAAAACGTAAATGAACAACGAATTTCGTTGTGCTAAACCTCTCTATTATGTAATATTAGACACCCTTTAAAGGGGAAGTTAAGGCAAAAATTAAAATTTCACCAGTTGTAGTCTTCGGGGTGCTGAGTCGAATGGTCTTGGTCCGAGGAAGCTGAGACGCTTCCTTCCTACTTGAATCCCAATCGAACTCGCGCACTTCCACCGAAACTGGGTGACTGCGCCCTACTAGATGGGGATTTGTATGCAAAATGTCACTAAAAGCGCCATTTCGTTCTTATAAAAGCACGGATGACCGCGATTGGCCCATATGTTGTAGTCTTTTGGACGCTGAGTCGACTGGTTTTGGTCCGAAAAGGCTGCGAAGCAGCGTTCCTCCTTTATTCCCAATCGAACATGGTCGAACAAGTGGTCACGTGCTGCTGCGTACACCAGTCAGCTGGTCACCGTGCCTGCAGGGTACAACTTACTAGCCTGTTTGACCTTTTTTGGGTGCAGTCCTGTCACTCGAGTTGAACTCGAGTTGAACCTTGGTGTGAAAGTTGTCGCCTGCTGGCGTGGTGACCAGCTGATTTGGACACCCAGGAGCACGTGACCGCTTCTTCAACCATGTTCGATTGGGAATAAAGGAGGAACGCTGCATCGCAGCCTTTTCGGACCAAAACCAGTCGACTCAGCGTCCAAAAGACTACAACATATGGGCCAATCGCGGTCATCCGTGCTTTTATAAGAACGAAATGGCGCTTTTAGTGACATTTTGCATACAAATCCCCATCTAGTAGGGCGCAGTCACCCAGTTTCGGTGGAAGTGCGCGAGTTCGATTGGGATTCAAGTAGGAAGGAAGCGTCTCAGCTTCCTCGGACCAAGACCATTCGACTCAGCACCCCGAAGACTACAACTGGTGAAATTTTAATTTTTGCCTTAACTTCCCCTTTAATAGGCCCCGGTCACACATGCACTTTTTTTGGCGGTTCCGCCAAAGCGTAACTTACGCTCCGCCGTTGCCTCGGCAACGGCGGAGGCGTAAGTTACGCTTTGGCGGAAAGTTTGGATTTCGCTACGCCAAAAAAATGCGAGCGGACCCTCCGCTTTCGCGGATCCGCTTTGGCGGAACCTGCATGGTGATGGTTTTGGAGTTTGGTGTGCTACTTCTGCACTGAGTTCTGGTGTTGTTTGGTTGCCGTTTGGTATTCAGTTTTATATTGGTCTTCTTTGCCAATGAAGTATACGTTCTGGAGATCTCGCAAACAATACTGCATCGTTATGAGTGGATAATTGGTGAGGGAATCCGTCTCCCAACTCATTGGCCCCGATCGCGGACGATCTCCAACTCTCTCCTTCTCTCTCCAAGCAATACGTCCACCAGAGTATGCAACACTAGGACTGCAACCAGGGAGTAGTAGAGTACTCTGCCACACCCTCACTGCAACTGCAGGCATCCACGCAGTCGCTGGGTCGATGATGGATCATGGAGGAGGCAACGACACCCTGCTATAAAACAATTTGTATTTGATATTAATGTAAACTAAACTAATATTCAAATACACCCGTGCTGGGCCGCAGTGAATGTGCCCCAAATCCACGAGTGTACTTGACAGGAGACATTCAGCAGCCTGTCAGCGATCCACGATAGCTCTACTTGTACAAGCGAAGGTCGCTTCAACCCTTCAAGAAGGAGGCAACGACACCCTGCTATATAACTATTTGAATTTGATATTGATGTAAACCAAACTAGTAATATTCAAATACACCTGTACTGGGCCGCAGTGAATGCGCCCCAAATCCACGAGTGTACTTGACAGGAGACATTCAGCAGCCTAGCCTGTCAGCGATCCACGATAGCTCTACTTGTACAAGCGAAGGTCGCTTCAACTCGGACAAGAACATCTAAAATTTCATAGGACGTGCTGCATTCTCTCCGCCAAAGCGGAGCGTTGAGGAGCACAGTAGTCTACATGTATGTGTGACCGCTGCATCGTGTGGTCCGCCAAAGCGGCTGCGGTAGTTCCGCTTTCCGCCTCCGCAAAAGCGGTGCAAGCTTTTCATGTGTGACCGCGGCCTTAGCAAACAACGTTATGTTGCAACGGTATTACCGTAAGGGGGAAACTACCGTGATTTGGGTTCGACCTTTAGCAAGATGCACGCTATTTTTAGTACACTGTTGCCGCGAGAATAGCTTTTACTTCGCGCGGTACAACCATTTATGTCACCATATACGCGATACAAGGTGAAATGCGTACGGACTACTGTAAATATACAAAATTTCGGCGCTGCAAAATTTCAGCACTTCACGATTTTTGACATTTCGACGGCGATTTATTTTCGGCGTGGGGTAAAGGGCATGGTATTGCGACAGATGCTGTGAAAATTTCCATCGGCGTTTTAAAGGGGAACTGTCACCAAAAAATTTCTTTGTCTTATCTTGTAGTTCCTTGGCTCCTGATCACGATGGTGTTATCCGTTTTTCTCTGCGATGGCTGGAAGTGGGTGAAAACTTGAAAAGAAGGTGCCCAAAATAGATGACTTGCACAAAGATTGTCTGGGTTCGAGACGGGGCAAGTGGACCTTCTGACTCTGCACTTCCCCACCTTTTGAGTTCGTGACTTTCGAAGTTTCGCTTTTTGCCTGATGAACACTGAGCTAGTTTTTTTGGCTATAGAGTAGGTTTTGATTCGACTTGTATCGTCATGCCGAAGCACTGCTGCGCTCCTGAATGAACTAGCAGACGAGAGATGGAACTGAGGCTCCCATTCCATACGTTCCTTTCCGAGCCGGCCGGGCGGGAGGCAGGAAAATGAGGGAATATTATTTTAGTATCATTGGTGTAGGCTGCAACAAGCACGTCGTGGTCCTGAAGTGTGACTACTTTCCCGCAGTGGAAGCGAAGTCAAGCACAACGAAAGTTTGTGGACGTCTGAGAAAGAACTCGATTCCCTTTCAATCGGCTGCACTAGCTCCAGAGAGACCCTCTCCTGAGGACAGACTGCGGAGAGGCCAGGAACCTGCCGAGTGACGAGTGGAAGCCTAAACCATGAAAATGAAGGGTGAAAGGACTGAGTATGAGAGCAAGATGGCCTTTAGTAGTACTTCAAGTAGTATCTGAGTTGAAGGAGAGAACAAGTGTGCTGGAGAAACGCTGCGAAGTCCTCAGGCCTGATGTGTACAAGCTACTGTTGAAGTCTCACTTGTTCCGATAACATTTCATCAGCCCTTACTCTGAGCAGCTGTATCTAGACTTGGATCTAGGCCAGAGACATAGCATTGTAAACCTTACTGAAGCCATATGTATCCGATGCCTGGCTCTAGTGAGAAAGCAGTTTGGCGCAGGCTCGCAAACTATGATTGAATCAGGGAGTGATGGAAAGTCACATTATACCTCTTCATGATTAGCTGGTAATGACGACGATGCGGCTCCGGCTGGGTCTCATGGGAAAGTAACTTGCATACCTGTTTAGTTGCAACGAGGCAACGGTACCCCATGTACTAAAGACATGATTGAACTACATTTCATCTCCTCCTGGGAGAATGTGGAACAAATAATGCCAGAGTGTGTCTGATACACATCACAGTCTGCTGAGTATGTTCATTATTGTGGACGTTACATAACTGCGCTGTGAGGTACCTTCTGTGTTGGACCTTCAGTTGAGCCACTACTCTTCTTACAAATTCCGCACAAAGGTGAAA